GTTTTTAAATAATTAAGCTTCTACTCTTTCTGAGCGTTTATTTATTGACTCAACGTGGAAAGTACAACGAATGTGAAAATTCTATATCTTGAATAACTAACCCTTCAAATGTCGATTTTGAGGTAGCTTACTTTTGATATACTTTTACAAAGGATAATATTAGCTTAAGGGTTTAGTTCTTTAAATCTAGTCACATGGTTTTTTGGTATATATATATATATATATATATATATATATATATATATATATATATATATATATATATATATACAAATGATTTCACTAGGTATGTAGTAGTTTATCCGCACAAAGTAACGCAATAAATAACAAGAAAAGCGCCAAGGTGAAATAAAACCAGGAAAAAAAGAAGAGCACGCGCAAGACAGAACATAGAAATGTATTTCTCTATATATTTATTTGTGTATGTTTGTTATAATTGAATGCCAACAGTTAAAAGGACAAAGAGGAACAGAGAAAGAAAGAATAACTGTCTTTTAGTTAGTTAGAACTTGTTTTAAGCTTAAACAATAAATACTACTTATAGTGGTAGCCGTCGTCGTTGTGGCAGTAATATTAATAATAATAATAATAATAATAATAATAATAACGGTACTAGTAATAATAATAATATTAATGCTATTAACATCAGTCGTTTTAGTATCAACATGTATGTATTACTATTCCTATTGAAACAAACATGCACACGCACATGCGTGCATTCATGCATACATATACATATATGTAGTTAACTAGTTGGGTAGAGATTCCTGGTTTCCTTTGAACTAATGATCGGCATTCTCTAACTTAATGAAGATGTTTTTTTTGTTCTTTGATTTACCGCAGCCATTTAATAGTGAATATTTTCATAACAGAACTAGCCATAATAGGTTTATTCAATTTTATGCCTAATAAAGTAATAACATTGAGTATTACAATCACTAATATTACTATTATTATTACTATTAGTACCAACAATAATATTGGTATTAATAAGAAACTAAAATAGGAAGAGATATAAGTGATAATTAAAAATAAAAAAATAAAAATTGTAGTAACTACATTTGAATAAGTATAAACAAGTGAATATTGAATGTTGATTATAAGAGGAATTTCATCTAACATAGATAATGCAGTTAGAGTAGTGGTGATTACAATAAAATCTGAATATAATTTCATGAGACACAAATATTAGTAATTGTTATGATTTACATCCATATGGTTATTACTTCCCGTACTCAGGAAATGTTTTTTTTCTTGGAATGATTATACTGACATAAATAATGTGACTGACTGTATAAATAAAACTCAGTAATCATGAACATAGTCTAGTGAATGAGAGAATGTATTTGAATAGAGTTACAGGACATCTTAGTAAAATCTGTTAGGCATACAGTAAATACTTCATTTGCAAAATATCAATCAATTGTCTCAGACATCATTATTCTTTCATTTCCACACCAATTATTCTTTGTTCTGGTTACATTTTCTTCGATCTTTTTAACTTTCTTCTTCCAAGTATTTCACTTTCAATTGACGATACATACTACTCATATGTGTTGATATCAGTAGCAAACACCACAATAGTAAGCAGTTTTTATTCGATCCAACAAAAATGCTAATATTTATTAAATTCGCATTTAATTTGATTATAATACTATGAATATATCATAAAATAGAGAGATTGTCTGGACTTAATTTAGAATTTAATAGAATTTCAGTAAGAAATGTATTTAGCTTACATGGTTTACAGGTTGTGACAGTTAAGTTCATAGCACTACCATGATAGTGTTATTTTTTCCATAGCTTGTTTTAATTTCCCTATGAGTCAAGATTAGTTATATTTTTATAAATCACCCATTACAAATTGATAGTCACAAGCCAGTTAGAACAGTTAAGTTGGATGAAATATGTAAAATGGAATGTTATAAAATCGAACCTCAATAGTGAAACAAATGTTATATTCATTGATAAAATGGATTTATTCCTTTACCTTTGATGATCAACTCTAGTTGGAGCTAAAATTATCCAATCTCCGAAAATTCCATCCTTAAGAATTGAAGGAATAATCTAGTATAAAACTGATTAACCATTTTAGAATTAATTTAAATGTTTTATTTTTAAGAGTCTTCAAAGAGTTTACTGTATAAATAGTTTTGCGATTTCCAACAAAAATTACTATAATATCGACAAAACCCCTCTCTGATTATAATCATTATATGCTCACTAATGACGGTTTCCAAGAGGTATATCCTAGAGTTCTAGTGAGAAGCCGTGATCAGTGGAGTTCAACCAGGTCTGTTGTGAGATAATAACTCACTGAAGACGATGGTGGACGGTTAAAGCTAGGCATTAGCACTATTAAATGCCGCTCGGCTCAGTGGTTTAGATGTTAAGCGTTCGCGCGCGAAACCGATAGGCCCTAGGTCCAAATGTTTCGAGGCGGGATCGTATGTGCGCGCTGCTGAGGAGTCTTACAATAGGACGAAACGTTCGTCTAGTGCTTCCGGGTTTTTTATGGTTGTCTGGCTTCAATTTACCCATGAATTAAACTATAAGAAATAGTTATACTTGATTATATATAAGAAGGACAGTGCCAATCCCTGATGCATCCTACTAATTCTCAGTGTATAACAGTTTTATTACAACCAAGTTTAAGAAGTTAAACATTTAATTCTTGATTTTCAAAGGGCTGTATTCATCTACTTAATCATGCAATCTTTTATTTCATGACTAGTAGTCTTTTGTTACTAACTCCTTCAACTTTTTAAATCATTCGTTTAATAACTTCACTACCTCCGAATTTTTAGATTCGATTTCATGTGAGAAATATTAATAAATTTCAGTGGTATTATGTCCTCTGAGAAGAATAATTTTATTGTGGAGCAATCATTATTGGTGTAAAAAATCATCAACCCTGTACCTCCACACAAAACTATTTCACATATGCTTAGTTAGTTTGTTCTGACAATATTGTTTACAACTAACTGTTCTTTTACGTTCCATTATTATGTTTGTTTGCATTTCCTTTGACCATTCTGTTCATTTGATCTCGGGTCATTTAGTTGACTAGATCTCCTCATAAGAACTGATAAACTGATTATTTGATGTGTTAATTTTTATTCCAAATAATTATTAGAGTAGTGTTCACTGTTCTATAGTTTTGATTTAGTATGTAATAAATTTTCATTGTTACGTGGGATTTTTGTTTTATTGAACTTTCTAATATATTTCAATTAAATCTGTGAAAACAGAAACCACCATAAATCATGAAGTGGTGAATAACTATTCTGTCATGGTTAGGGATACCTCAACAGTATGAACTGACAACTGAAAACAGACAACATCCTGGAAACATCAAATGTAATGTGATGTACAATACCTTCAGACAACTTAAACAAAATACTAGTTGTTCAGATATCCGATTTTGGTCGATTCGCAGTATAACTTGGCGTTAATACGATGTCCTAAATGATTTATTCCGTACACCGAGATTGTTTGAATTATTTAATTTACACCACTTTTGAATCGATTCTGATAAAATTATATTCTATAGATGAGTTTCTCTCCTACGAGTACTTCATATACTTAACTGAAGAATTATATGACTTCAGAAAATAATTGGGATTTAAAACTCTATAACCTCAATTTAAGAAACAGTACGATCAATCTTCGTCGAACGGTACTGGAAATGCGTAGACTATATCCTGGCCAGTCAAATGAATGCTACCTGAAGGCCTTTGGATTAAACAACATGTAGAAATAATGAATGGTTGCCGTTCAGGAGATTCTATCCGATAAGCAAGTAATGAAGTTCACGATGCAAAATATGCAGTTAAGTGAAATCTCTTTTAGTAATCGCTGATATCTAGGAATACAAATGACTGATTACGGGAGAACTATGAAAAACGTTAATGTATATTACTCTTATTGAGTTATGTTAATAGAATTTTTATTGTGATCATGTTCAACCAAAGTTGAAATAGTTAACAAAAACCAAGGAGCAGTGGATGATGTAATACTCTAGGTTATATTTCTCGAAATATCCTAACTTCAAAATTTTCTGTCATATTCACGTTACTGAAATTTTTGCTTCATTACGACAATACATATCCATTTCTAGACAACTTCCATCTACAAGTATGCTAACTTCTATGATAAATCTGATCTTAAAATATTCTAGGTTGTAGGAAGCTGATGAGAATCTAACTAAATAATTTTTTAGCAAATAGAAACAGGATGATGATGATGATTGTAGAACTTTTATAGTTTAAACCACGGAGTGGTCTTAGCTAGGCTCACTGAAAACCTGGGAGCACTGGGTAGCTGTTCCTTTCTAGTACAGGACTGCTGAAGAGTATCCGCAACCACACCACCGGCGAACAAAACTAAGACCTTCTGTCTCTCACCCAAACACCCTATGTCTAGATCACTGATCCAGGATTCAGTGGTTTACATATCTAACTCTAATCAGATGTGCTATTTTGCCCAACTTTTTGTTTTTGTTTACTCAAACTTTAAACTTTGATTTCTCGTGTCATAATTCTCCAAACTGAAAATGGATAATAAAACCATCAACGTTCAGAAAGCTTCGGATCGCCTTTTAATTAGATAAAATGTGTCGAAAATTCCTCGAACAAACTAAATTAACATTTCCGTTTTCTTTTTAGTTTTCAAGGCCTTTGTTTACTTTTGTTGCTCATCATTAATAACCACTTCCAAATATACCTAATATCCATAATTTTACATCACGAAATTTTCGTTACCTTTTATTAATTGTAAGAATTTCAATGAATTAGTTCCAGAAATAACTTGGAAACGTTTTATTGAAAAAGTTTGTTAAACTAGACCATCTCATTCTGATTGGCTAGAATATACAATGATGAATGATTTCTATCAACCAATCATAATTTCTCGACATTACTAATTGGTTAGTTTGAAATAAGACACCAATTTTTTAATAACAGCTGATATTTAAAGGAAATGTTTACTATTTTAAAAACAGAAAAAGCCCTATATGTTAATTTCACTAGACGTTTGATGAGCAGAAAAAAAACATTAACACAATCATTTGGAACTACTTACTCATTAATTTGATTTGTAATTTCTACTTGGAACTGGACTAACTACTAGATACACCCATCTCATACTTCTCATATCATGTATCAAACTTATCAGTCTGTTCATTCATTTGGTGCACACACCAAAAGTACAAAAGCATATATATATAATTTCAAGGTATTCATAGAATTTTTATGTCTTACTATTGTGTGGAATTCAGTGATTGCTGTACCACTCATATTCCAAAGTGAAACCCTGGAAGAAAAAACCTATCCAACTGTCAATACAATTGCTAAAATGAATAACAGTAATTATACCATTAGTATCAATGAAAACAATGAAACAATAACTACGACAGTGAGCAGTATCGAAGGAACTGGAGGTGTTGTGGAAATACAAACTGTAAGTAGTGTTTGTATACATTTGACTAGATTTGCTTGATTATTACTTCACTAGGTATATTTACATGATCCCATTAAAACCAATCCTCAACATATGTTTATTTTTAAACTGGCTAATTCTAAAAAATAATAAACAAATTGTTGTATCACAGTTGTTACATAATATAAATGAGCCATTTATTAAATTCCATCAATTATATCAAGCCTAAATAAAACTTGCATTTCAACTATACTAAATACACATAATGTGACTCCGCTTATCCTAATTTACTATTACTTTGTTCTGAATGTGTAGTAATGCTAATTATTACACACTACTATCAGATGATATAAATAAATCTGACTCGTTAGAGATGGAGTAAACAACTTGAGTATGATACATAACAAGAAAAAGAATGATAAAACTGTCTGTTATGGTTTAAAAACCAAATGATTTACTTTTTTATTTTAAGTTGTTACTTATTAAACTCAGTTCACATAACATTCAATGTAGAGTTTTGGATTCTAATGTCAGTCATGAGAACAATAATAAGAATAGGACTTAAGGAGATATATTACTCAAATGATGTTTATATAACAGACAACACAATTAAAACACTTATATTGAAAAATAATAAAAATCAGTTAAGACAACCAATCATTAAACTTCATATATTGTCTAAGCACATTCGATTATTAAAATAACAAGTTACAATACTTCTTGAATAGTAAACGCAATAAATCTATTGTCAACTATTCATACTAATTGATTTTAACGAAGAACCATCTATTACCTTATAACGATGTTGAGTATTTAATTGTGCTGTAATAACAATAGTAATACATAGAACTAGTTTATTGATATTTGTTCTTGGAAATAAAATCCAACAAGATGATTAGAATATGATTAACAAAACATAAAATGTAAAATGATATTATGCATCAGACTAATAATAATAATACGTTTTGCCTGAAAAACACATTTACTTTAACATAGTTGTTACATCCATCAGTTTATTTACCTAAAGGCGAATATCATAGAACTAGAGATTTGTATTGAACTCATATTTATCACTTATGCATTATAGTATATGATATATACTCCTGTTTTGTATAATAAGTAAAATATTCTTGGAAAAAAACTATCAACAATTGTCCTTTATTATTAAATAAAAAGTAAAATAAAGGCGAGTATATTTTTAAAAAGTTAGCGTCCAGACTATTTAGAATATCTCTTTAAACTTAAGACTTTAACAAATGTATTCACCTTCAAGGTTCATAGCCTCTCAGATTATTATTTGTAAATTTAGTCGATGTAAGCTTAATTATATGTAGCACAAGGTACTCATTATCTTTACACATTGTCGATTTCACTTATTTCATTAAAGTATATAGTTTGACTTGGATACATAAAATCATCATTTTTAATTTTTTTATAAACACAAAAAATTAGTTTAAGGTGGTATGTAGAGATCACGAAGTGACTTACGTTTGACAACCAGGAAACACGGGATAGTTGTTTAGTCCAAGTATAAGGATGCTCAGCAGTGCACATCCATAGTCGTAATGGCGACCGAGACCGCAAGTTTCAGCTCTTTAGATAAGAGTTTGGATTTTGAACCACTGAATCATGATCGAGTAATTAACATATTTAACTTCTATTGACTCGTGAAATTGAGCAACCATTTCTCATTGTGTTCTAGTGAAAAGTCGTGACCAGAGGGTTTCGGTCGTTTTGCATGTAAGTCAGTTAGCTACCAAAGACTAACTTAAATCGGTTTGTAATCTTAATTAAAAAAACTAGACTAAATTTATACATTCCATGTATAAAAACATGTGTTTTCCACATGTACCACTATTTAATTGTTAATTTATTATTTATTAGATTGTTTGAGCAGCTATTATCCGACATTTCACATACTGACATTTTTCATACATGTCATATCAATTTTATTCACTTCTGATTGAAAAGAGAAGAATTATTAGTAGTAGTAATAGTAATAATAATAGTAGTAAGATTATCATTATTAACTATGTACACTTTTACAACACTACAATTGAGCATCCATAAATTGAAATACATTACTTCTACAAATACAAATGCTAAGAAATCGTAGGAAAGCTTTTATTTAACGATAATCATCTATCTAGTTTAATTTGACTCTAGGCACTTAAAAGACTAGTTAACTTCCCGATCAAAGAGATAATTAGGTGTTTTTACCCTTTTAAATATATATATATATATATATATATATATATATATATATATATATATATATATATATATATGCAGTCCCGGTAAATAAAATATTTTAACGTCAAATTCTTTATTAATTTTTGTAGTTCAATTAAATACATACTTTTATATACTTATATGTGAAAGATTAAAGCATATCGAAGGATTTTCACTGAATAGAATACTCGTTCATGTGCCTGTCTCGCTATGTGTAGACATACATATATATATATATTGTGTGTATGTAATGTAGCTTGATAGTGTAAACGATTTTACCGTAAGAATTAAGTATTACTATTAAATAATGTTAAATATTTATTCATTAGTAAGACAAATCTCTATTTAACTTTATAAATTCAAATATATTGCTACGGTAATTATAATCGGTCAAATTCGAGGAAGTAAATTTATTTTATATGAGACAAATAGAATAGTTTTTTTTCTAGAAAACAAAATGTTTTGTTAAGTTAGTGTATTATTACTATTATCATAATTACTAGTTTACATTTTGATCAATTTATTGCGCAATTTGCATGCCTGATTATCTATAAAACCCTTACACACTCTCTCTCTCTCTCTCTCTCTCTCTCTATATATATATATATATATATATATATATATATATATATATATATATATATATATATATATATATATATATATATACTGTGTGCTTCATTCTTTTGTCCATTCACATCATGCAGTTTCAGTATTTATGACCTTTATTTATATTCTATAATGTGATATAAATCATAAACATAGCGTTGTTCTTTTTTTTCTAATAACGATGATGATAATGTTCTTCTTTAAATTAATTATAGTAAGCTTTTGATTGTTTTCTGTCAATCTCAGAAGTTTAAGTATTCAACAACAAAATAGGCATTTGAAAGATCTAGAATAGACTTACCGGTACAAGGAAGTAAACATTAAGTAGTTTAAATATCGAAAATTTGACAGTAAGATTTCCAATATGTCAGAATAATTCAATTCATAATAGATTTCCATCAAGACCAATGTTCAATATTCAAAATATTCACGATATGATAATAGTAAGCAACTATGTTTATTAGGGAATTTAAATAATGATTATCATGGTTATATATATCAAGTTAACAAAACTGAAAAGCACTAAGAAACGAGTGGTCAGACAAATTTATAGACGACACTTCTATTACTGACAACAGATTTTCAAAATATGTTTAAAATAAACTGGTTTATAACTAGTTTTAATATAATTTTAGTATATTATTAACAAATATCATAAGTTTTTCATTTTTATCCTGTTAAAATAACCACCAAACCATCTTAACATATCTTGATATTGAGCAATTAAATTTCTAGTATGGATTTAAACGTTCAATAAAAAAAATAGAAAAGATGTTTACTACTGAAGAATCTCAATCTAGGACAAAACAACCTTTTAATACTTCTACATTTTCAATGGTGGTCTAGTTTATATCGACTCAGATTTTTAACTATTAAAATAAAAGTCGAAATATTCAATTCAACACGTAGACAATTCTTATTTATTTCTATTTTAAATATATAAATATATATAAATGTATACGTATTATAGAGATTTTTTAAACCTCCGGTCAATTCCTGTTTTTTGTTCTTTTAAAAATTAACAAATCTATATGTCTCATTTAAACTAAACAAGATTTTTCTTATCTACATCCTTAACAACTACATATATATATGCATATATACATCTATACACATATATATCTATAGAGGTAATATTTTGTGCACACTTGTTCATTTGATGTTTTAACTGAATACTAAAAAGAAAAAATAATAATAATTTTTTTTTAAATTTTAGCGGCGACATTCAAAGTGATTTTTGTTGATCCGTTAAACATTTAATGAATATCTGTATGCATTATAGTTATTGATTTTTTTCAAAATAAAATTTAGAAAAGAAAGGAACAAGAAGAAGAAGAAGAAGAAAGAAACGGTTATGTGTATAGACGTTTATTATAAAGTAAAAGCTCATAGTAGAATACATAGAGGTTTTTTTATTGATCTTATTGGCTTGTTCAATTAAGTTTAATAAATTCACTTATTTATTTAATCATTCATTTATAAAATTATTTGAGTATTTCTTATTCTTATCCTGTGTTTCATCATGAACTATTGTTTTCATTGAATTATGAAACATTGATGATATGATGAATGTTTTCACTTTTGTTTTTATGATTGGCTTGTGTAATTCACCAAAAAGTTTTTAATCACTATGAATTTTTTATATGTATAGTTTTGTTTATCATTTTGTAAAGAGTAAGAATAAAGTTTCTAGTAGAATAGTATGAATTTATTTATTTTTCGTTTGATTCTTGTTAGTTGCTAACATCCTGTGATATAACAAAATGGGTACAAGTTACTTATAAGTAATTTAAACCTATTTTGTAATTATGACTTTTAAATATTACAGGTTGTAAGCAGTTGACGAGGACTGGACAAAATAAAGTGAATTCATGCTATTCAACTAAAATCTTTGTTCTTGCACACGTCATTATGATTTTATTAATTTATAGTGTAATTTTGAAATTACTTATTAATGGTAAAATCAACATCAGTATTATAACTGATTGCCATCACAATGATTATTTCTAATGTTACTAGTGTTTAAAAATCTTAATAAAATTTCATGATCAATAATTTTCTTTCATTCAACTTAATAAAACGGAAATTTTTTATCGAATACAATCTATACTACTTTAGTATATAGTTCTTAGGATGAATTTTAATACTTAATTAGTAACATTCCATTGAAGAACACAATC